ACCACTGTACTGTTGTATCAGGTTTGAAACTTCTACTTCTATGGCTTTTGTTAGTTGGTTATCAATTTATGTTAGTAAAAATTTTATAGGATTGCTTTGCTATTTTGAGCTATTAATTTTTCGTTTATAGATCTCAAAATCTTTATATATATTTATTATTCTAGGATGGTGTCTGCTTTAGATGTTCCTACATGATCATGTTATGGTTTCAGCAGTTGCTGCTTTGTATCGGCCTTTTGTTTTGATCAGATTAAGGTGGTTGGATTTGAGTAAGTTCAGAACCACATGATCATGTCTATTTTGATTTAAACCATTGTACTCTCTCTGGTTCATAGTCATATATGAGTTTTCCTGCTAATTTTCATTTCCTTTGTTTCAAGAAATAAGGATCTCTGAGTTTATGACATGGTGTAGAGCTTTATTAAGAAGCTTGAGGCTCGAGTTTGTTTGTTGATTTATTATCTTTGTTGACCTACAATCACACAATTGAATATGGGTGTTCTTTCCATGTAGGTGATAATATCATTTGTGGGATCAAGGTAATTTAACTTTTTTTCTTAAAGTAAGTCTTAGAAACAAGTTTCATTTCTTATGTTTTCCACATGGTTAGAACATTGATTTAGCATGTTATCGGTATTCTTTGTATGTTATGGTTTATTGCTGTTTTTACACTTTGGTTGTTAGAGTTGTGGGTTTGTTGTTTGTTTGGCCAGTTCAAATCTGCTTTCAGGGTTAGGCTCTCTTCTTTACCTTATTTGGACATACCATTGATTTGGAGCGATTAGCCTGATGATTCTGAATCCAGACCTTATGCACCTGACACATACTTCTTTGGGTATCCTATCCTATTGATGATTCTGAATCCAGACCTTTTCACTTTGTTGTTCTTTATATCTATTTTACCTTTCAAGCATTTTGTAGAAATTGGACGATCTGCTCATTGGGGTAGAGGTCTGGTTTGCTTGCATCGCCCGACCAAACTTGCTAGGGTTAGAATTGTTACTGTTACATCGTGTTTTACAATTTCATTTTACCATTCTTTGATTAGGACATGAAGATTTTGGGATTAGGTACTCGTAGCTTGAAAACATGATTGTTAAAACACGGAGCCGTTCTCCCAATCTTTTTATTTATGTTAATTAATGCAACTTATCAATTTTTAAGCCTTCATAAGGATGTTGAGGTTAAGGGGTTGTTTACCAAATACTTACCCGGTTAAGCGCTTTCTAAGTCACATTATCTTACCAGATGAATATGGTAAGAGCCTTTTTACCAAACCCTTACCCGGTTATTTTTGCATCTACAATTGTTATTTTTGCATCTACTATTGCAATCTTTATAACTACTTCTTTCTACCCCCTGTGTGGAGCTTCTGGCTACGCAGCCTTTGAAGATTTGACTCCTGGGAATATCTTGACTAGTTTCGGAGTTTAAGAACCTTACTGGCTCGTAGACTTTGGTAATGCGTGCACTGTTCTCCACTTAGTTGGAGGGTATCAGGTATTGCATGACCTTGGTTTTACTCGTTTAAAACTCTTAATCTCCATGCTTATTGATCCTTAATCCTTATCAATTTCATCATATACATGTTGTTAGATATATAGTTAGACATTATTTGCAATTGCGGAATGATGGTATGCAGAAAAGTTCCCAGAAAGCGCGTTAACAAGTGATATCGGGAATTTGAAAGTGTTGATATTGCCCAAGTTTAGAGTGAATCCTCTTAGGTTATGTTTTAGAAGTACATATGTGATATTGACCATTGGAGTAGGGATGGCTATTCCCTTACTTCAATGAAGTCTTGGCTTTTTCAGGATCAATCATCTTATGGCCCTTGACTATATATTTCCCAGTGGAAATGTATATTGTGCAGCAGAACAGGTTGATTGTTCTACAGGTTTACAGCACTTTTTGCCTGCTTGTAACCATTTTTACATTGGCTGGTTCCATTGAAGGACTTATTCCCAAAAGATTTGGCTTAGTAAAGTACTTTTATCTTTAAACCTGGTTTGTATGCCATATGCACACACTATCCATGGATTGGTGGATTAAGATAGAAAGTCAGATTCAATCATAGCCTTTTAAAATTGAGTTTGTTTTTTGCCCTTGTTATTATTGTATGATATTAAACCTATTCCAATATTAATATTAGTATTTTTAATATTTTAAAGGGGAAATTACATTAATTTATAATGAATTTTGTTTTGATTTTTATTGTAAAAAAATATCATTCCCCCAAGTACCAAAAATACATTTGGCATGCAAAGCAGGTTTAAATTGTAAACACCTAACACGCATATTCTAAAAACGTACATAAACATGCATAATGGGTCAAATTAGAAGTTGTAAAAGTCGGGTTTAAATTACAGGTTGTATGAATTTATACTATCTTATAAATCAGATTTGTCAAAAGTCTTAAAAATAATTTTTAATGCACAAAGTCTTATATAAAAGTCTTAAAAACAACTTATAATGCATTAAGTACTACTACTTTATGCATTTAGTCTTAAAATCTTTTAATCTACAACTAAAATAACATATAATACAAGTTATCAATGCACATTATTACTTTTTTTCATGTTTCCAAGATACTTTTGACATCTTTAACTTATGTCTTCACTCTCTCATACCTCTATGTCTTCTCTTCATCCTCCAATGTGAGATTCAAAATGATATTCACCATGCGTTATTCATTCATCTTCCATTTAATTGCTCTAGAACTCTCGGTCTCGCTTTCAATCTCTTGATTCTTTGCTCTTGGTGTAAATCGAATACATTTGTGGAGTCGTTTAAATATGTTGAATTTTAAATATATTGGATTATAAACTGTCATACAATTTTTTTCATCGATAGACTGTAATTTGAACCATAACTCTTATTTATTCAATTTGTATTAATATGTAAGATCAAGCGTAACTTATATCATCGTTAAATCTTCTCTAATAAAACCAGTGAAACTTCAAAATCTTTAAAATTCACGGCTCCCGCCGCATTGCGCGGGTAGACAACTAGTAGTAAATTCATACATTACTATTAATTACATAAAATTTGAGAACATTTGAATTTAGTTTTTTAATTATTGAATATTTAGTATTTGTAATATCTCCTTTATCACAATTTTACATTAATTAGTGATTAGACAAATATAATATGTCTAGAGGAAAATGAAAAAGCACAGGAGGCCATTCACTAGATTTCGGTTGATTCAGAAGTTGTGGGCTCAAGTTAAAATGTCTATGTATCTATCTATATTTTATGTATGCAGAAGAAAAATAATTAGTTTTGTAATTTTTATAAATAGACAACAAATGAGTTCATATATGAACCCATGTGATACACTTATGAACTATATGTTCATATGTAAACCCGTTAATTAGTTCACATGTGAACTATTTAACAGGTTCATATATGAACACACATGTTCATATATGAATCAGTTAATTGATTCATATGTGAATCATATAGATTTATATATGTGATTCATACGGGTTCATATGTGAATCAGTTAAAATAGTTCATATGTAAGTTACACGAGTTCACATATCAACATATAGTTCAGATGTGAATTAATAGGTTCATATATGACCCTGTATTTGTAAAAGTTACGAAATTGACTTTTCTATTTAATTTTTGTATAAACGTAATTTTTGATAAGTTAAAGCCGTACGTAATTATTGACCAATCAAAAAGCCGATCTCAACCGTATTAAAGACTAGAATGACTTCTTTAATTACTTATCAATTATTTAACACTAAGGAAGCATGTTTTTTGACACCATTAATTTTTGGATAGAAATGGTACCTCATCTTTACCTCTAACTAAAGATCATGGATTTGATTACCAAGGAATATTATAGCACTATTTAGAAACTTTAATTAATCCAAAAATTATTTATTTTATAAGTAATTATGATGAATATTATCCATTATAAATGTCTCTTACAACATTAATTCGTTATCAATATTTTATCATGTTATTCATCATGAATGCTTACAAAAAAGATGGTTTCGATGGCTTTAAGATATTTAAGGTTTTCAAATGAACCTCCCTCTATGACACGTACTGTTCGTCAATTTAATACTATATATCAAAACAAATATAATTAGGATTGTAAAGAATAGAACGTTCAACGAATCGTTCGTGAACTGTTCAGTGGGAAGTTCTTTTATTTAATAAATGAACGAACATTAATTTTTTTTTGTTCATTCGTTTAATTAAACGAACGAACATTAACAAGAGTCTCATTCGTTCATTTATGTTCGTTTATATATTAAATTTTTTATTTATTTAGTTTGAATTCAAATAATATTTATTTTAGTTTTAACTTTTTAGAATATTTAGATTTAAATTTTATCATCATTTTGTCTTATTTTGAAATTTTTACCTTTTCATCGTCTATGCTCGTTTAATATCATTTATGTTCGTTTATTTTTGTTTAGCCCGTTCGTTCATGTTCGTTCGTTTACGTTCGATTTGCATGTTAACAAACGAGCATAAACGAACACGGACACACCCGATTTCTAAACAAACGAACACAAACACAAAGATTTTATTCCGTTTACCATTCATGTTCAGCTTCTGCTTTTCAATCGTTGTGCCATGGGATGGTATGTAAAACTTCAACAGCTTACAAGCAAAAGAAAAAGAAAAAAAAAAGAGTATGCAATATTGATAAATTGAGACGATAATGACGAACAGAACACCAAAAATGGTGGTCACCAAAACACTTGATGAAGTCTTCAGTTCCCATGCATATGTGTCATTCAATCTAGACACCTGCCACTACGTCATCAATACACCTAACTCTCAATTGCACACTCATTCTTTTCAGGAACTAATCCAAATATTCAATACTTTGACTCTCAAGTTACCATTTTTGAATCATGTCTCGTCGTTACTACTATATACCACCTTTTATACTGAGAAAATCATCGGAATACGTTAATGGATAAGTGACACCATGCATTAAGTTTTGTATAAATAGAGGGCCAAGGAAAATGCACCATCTTCATAGCAATCAACGTACGTACTCGTTTTGAATCTACTAAAATGAAGATCAACTCGTGCTTGCTTTTTGCACTTCTTCTTCTTCTTGTTTCATGCACTTTGGCTGTGGAGACATCGCAGCAGGAGACAACCACTGAGCAGAGTCTCTCTATCATATCTTCTATGATCTTCCATTTCTAATAATCATTTTTAATAACATTATAAGTTGACACGATTTTAATTGTCCATTGCAGAACCCGAAGAAGCTGCTTATGGTGGAGGTGGTGGATGGGGATGTCGCCATGGATGCTGTTATCATGGATATAGAGGAGGTTGTGCAAGATGTTGCTCCTCGCCAGAAGAGGCCAAGGCCTTTGCGGAAAGACAAGCTCACCCTCAAAAACCCTAATAAGTAAATTCGCATGCAGTTGCAGTAGCTAGCTGCGATAACAAATCCATGTATTTGGTATATATTCACTAAATAAATAAAACAATACATGGTGTTGTAATAGAGCTATAAATAAGAGTTTAATGTGGAAAATAGGATCTTTTTCCACCTTTTGGAGTATATTTTGCGACATCCAACTGTTCAATGTATGTGCTATCTTTCTATTTTTGGCAGTATATGATTAATTCGTTTCTTAGATGTCATGAATTGATGAGTCATAAAGGAAATCTGTAACCGCTCTCCCTTCCCAAGAAGCTTCGACTGAAACAAGACAAAAAAGATGAAAGGGTTTCGAATGCAGACATCGACATCAGGCCATGTGCATAGGCCTATATCAAGGGTTTCCAACAGCTCTTTGTTCGAACCTTCCGTTGGTTGTAAACATTACATGCATGATGATGATGATGCAACAAACTACAAAAGCAATTGGATTTTCGATTTCTGGATTCTTTTAATTAGCAAGTAGGAACACACAATCACATACTATTAGTTTCAAGACTGATACAAGATATATAGTTGAGGAAATAGAAGATAGGAGATAGTACATAGAACATTCCAAAAGCCCTTTAAATGGAGAAAAATGAAGTGTTTTGGAGTTCTTAATTATAGCTTTTTTTTCCCTTTCTAATAACCTCTCCAAACCTTTCTTTTAACATAAAAAATAATAAGGGTTGCTAAACACACCCTATCTTACTCATTCCTATGATCCTCCTATCTATTCTCTCAAAGGGTTGCTAAACATTCCTATGATACAATTTTAAGGTGGTGTTTGATTGGTTTGAGCTTGGCTTTAAAGATCAAAAGTATCAGGAGGTCTCACGTATAAATCCAAGGAGGAATAAAAATGCCCTTGTGGCCACGGAGGTTCAAATGCGGTGACTCAGTACTATCTGCAAAGCAGGTGGTCATCTTAGAATTAGTCGGCTCAAATAACAGATTAGATATGATCAGGTTAATGAAAAAAAACCATTCCTATGATACTTGTTTCGTGTGCATCTATTCTCTCACAAACAATGACTTGATCAAATAATTCAACCCAATGAATCAACCCTATCACTAGAGTTATATATAATATTTTTGTATATGCATGCTTCAAAGTTACGCTACAACAAAACTGAGTTTATATAGGACACCCTCAATCTCTAAATGTCTCAATAGATCATTTTATAGGACTTAATTTATAGGAACAAAATATAAAGCGTCTTATCTAAAGGTGTTGTAATAAGTTTATATGACGCTTTTAGGCGTCTTAACAAGTTTTTTAGAACATTTTTAATACAAAGTGTCGCATTAAAGTGTCCTATAAATTCAATTTTTATAGGACATTTGTTTTTATATGATAGTTTTTCAAATAATGTCATGTAAAGTTGTTAATGAGACGTTTTATATTAAAAGTGTTCTAAAAAACTTATTACGACATCAAAAAAAAGTCATATAAACTTATTATAACACCTTTAGATATGACACTTTATTTTTTTGGTCCTATAAACTAAGTCTTATAAAGAGGTATATTAAGACGCTTTATTTTTTTGGTCCTATAAACTAAGTCTTATAAAGAAGTATATTAAGACGCTTAAAAATTGAGAGTGTCCTACAAACCCGATTTTATTGTAATGTTATCAATTACGTTATATAAAAATCACTTGTCCTGAATTTCTCTATTTCCTTCATATTCTAATGAAGAGAATTTTGATCTTCCACTAAGATTTACCTCTTCCCAGTTAAATTTTTTATGCAATAAACAGAATTAAACTTTTGTTACACTAATAGAGAAGAAATATAATTCTTTACACTAAAATTAGTTAATTTAACTAGTTACCAAAGTGCTTTTGGCCTAGCATTATCCATGTTAATTACTAGTAAGATCCCAGTTTTTCTGGACGTCAAGGACTTAAACCTCACTAAAAATGAACATCGTTGTAAGTATGTCATATATATGAATTTAATCATTTAAGAACTTCAAATCCATTCTAAACAACTAATTTAAGATAATTAGGGGGTGTTTTGCTTCAAGAAGCAAAATGAAATTGAAAATGACATGAAATGAGAACGTGAATGAATTTTCATTCGTGCCAAATTAACAAAGAATAAAAATTTGGTTTGAAGGGGAATGAGTCAGTTATATTATGAAACCAAACAATTTTTTATATATACTCAATCCTATTAATGACTGTTTCATACCACTAACCGAACACTTCTTAATGTTATTAATTAGATAACTATCATTATTTTAAATAAAAATTAATGTATTTTTTTAGAAAAATCCATACTTATCTCTTTCTCTCTCCTATATTTGTATTAAGATACCTATTGGAGCACCAAAGGTGAATACATTATAAACACAAAGTAAACAACTTTAATAAAATTTTATATTAGGATATCATGTTCACAAGCTATATGTTTAGATTTAGTTTGTATTCATAAAATATGTTTACATGTTATAACAGATATCGTAGATTTAGATTTAGATTATGTTCACAAACTATAATAGTATATTCAGAATGTTTGCATATGTTCACATTGTGTTCATATTGAATTATATATGTGTATGTTATGGAGAGATGTGAGATCGGAGAACATAATAGGAGAGAAAGGGAGGTTTTTAATTTATATTATTTTTTTTCAACTAATTTTTTGTTATTTAAGTTGGATCTTATAGATGTCATGAGTTACAAAGTTTTAAAGAATGGCATATATATATATATATATATATATATAGAGAGAGAGAGAGAGAGAGAGATATTTGAGATCATGTGAGACCAAAAGTTTTTTGTGAGATCCGTAAAACCAATTATCAACTCTTGGATTAAATCTACAATTTGAATATTCATAATCATAAAATTGTCACGAGACTTCTCAATAATCACAAAATTGTCACCATACAACTTTAGACCATTAGATCATTAGTTTATAAAGTTGATCAATAAACATAAATTAGTCTTACGGGTCCACGAAAAATCATTGTTCTCACATGAACTCAACCCTATATATATATATATATATATATATATATAGTAGAGCGACATGGGTTAACGTGAGAACAAAGTCAAGGCTCAACACTATAATGTACCATAACTAGAGGATTACAAATTATTTAGTAGCATGCTCTTATTACAAATTATTTAGTAACATAAATTAGTCTTAAGTATCCATTTATCATCCATATATATATATATAGAGAGAGAGAGAGAGAGAAAGAAGTAACGAAGTTCAAAGTGTTGTTGGATATTATCCTTACACCTCTTATCCTTTTCAAACGTAGATGCTCTTATTACTAACACAATTACGTACATTACATAATCCATGCTTTTATCTTTAACCCCCTCCTCATTCTTCGCCGCCTCCCCTTCCCCCACCTGATCCGCTTCCTCCACCTCCACCTCCACCTCCCTTATGCTCGCCACCATGTCCTCCACCACCTCCCTTATGCCCGCCACCACCACCTCCGCTTCCTCCTCCACCACCCTTATGGCCGCCACCACCACCTCCGCTTCCTCCGCCACCGCCTCCCTTGCCACTACCTCCGCTACCACCGCTGCCTCCACTTCCACCGCCTCCCTTGCCACCACTTCCACCCCCTCCCTTGCCTCCGCCTCCACTACCTCCACTTCCACCGCCTCCCTTGCCTCCGCCTCCGCTGCTACCGCCTCCCTTGCCACCATGGCCGCTGCTGCCACCGCTTCCACCATGCCCACCACCTCCGCCTCCACTACCACCACCGCCACCTCCGCTTCCACCTCCCTTGCCTCCGCTGCCACCACCGCTACCTCCACTTCCACCTCCCTTGCCTCCGCTACCACCACCACCGCTACCTCCGCTTCCACCTCCCTTGCCACTGCCACCACCACCACCGCTACCTCCGCTTCCACCTCCCTTGCCACTGCCACCACCACCACCGCTACCTCCACTTCCACCGCCTCCTTTGCCACCGCTTCCACCATGCCCACCGCCTCCCTTGCCACCACTGCCGCTACCTCCGCTTCCACCGCCTCCCTTGCCACCACCACCGCCACTACCACCGCTTCCACCATGCCCACCACCTCCCTTGCCACCACCACTACCACCACTTCCACCTCCTCCCTTGCCACCACCGCCACTGCCACCGTGTCCACCGCCTCCACCTCCACTGCCACCGTGTCCTCCACCACCTCCGCTACCACCACCGCCGCTGCCACCGTGTCCTCCACCACCTCCACTACCTCCGTGTCCTCCACCACCTCCACTACCACCACCGCCGCTACCCCCGCTTCCACCATGTCCTCCACTTCCTCCGCTTCCTCCACCTCCCTTGCCACCCCCTCCACTGCCACCACCCCCATGGCCGCTGCCTCCGCTACCACCACTGCCACTTCCAACTCCTATGCCAACAATATCTTCTAACGAGTCACCACCAGTTCCTACCACACCAACCTCATCACTTGGGCGTTTTTTTCTTTCATCCAGTGCTTCCCTTTCCGACTCTGAAATTCACCAATTTCACAAGTTACAATTTTATGTTTTCATCAAAAGATTTATAGGAAGGTTATCTATTGCGCATATGTAGTTAAGTTAAGGAAGACAAATACACCTTGAACGCTATCTTATTCCATTTTCTTCTCGTTTCAATTCATGCATCGTATGGATATAAAAAAAGCATGAAACTCGTTTTATAAAAACGTTAAGATGGCGTGCAAGACGCAAGAATCACTCGCAAACAACACAAAACCCGGCGTTTCTATGCTACCCAATACGTCAACCCGTTGTGCATCCCTAAAACAAAACCAAAGATGAAAGAGTTAACTCACTGGCATCAGCGGTCTCGATTGATCTCGCGGAAGAGACGACAATTCCAATAAGGAATAAAAGAGCCAACAAAACCAAACCCTTTTTCATCTTCATCTTTCTTGCTGGTGAGTGAACCTATATTTTTGTACACCTTTTCAAGGTTGATCAATGAGGCTATTCATCAGTCTTCTATTTATAATCAGATCGAACACTTCAACTGTGGTAGGCCCCTGGAAGTAATATCCCAGACCAGAAGTGACACCTATAATTTTAATGCTGATGTGTCTTATCAACAAAGTGACACCACATGCAGCTTGGTTGTGATGACTGATGAGATGCATGATCATCAAAAACTCTCTTAGGTTTCAGAACATGAAGATATTTGGCATGTCACCAGTCATATCTTTCCCAAAAATAGTAGTTGCATGTTAATAATTTTGATTCTCGGAAATCCCCAAGTTTGGCTTTTCTCTATGAATTTTGCGAAGAGCTCGTACATACGTAGGTGGATAATGTGGACCAAATTACGGATGAAGAGAGCATCAATCAAGTCTCACCTGAATGTGTGTAAAAATTTGATTATGAAGATGAGATCTCTGACCTGAAGTTGGATAACTACAAGAAACAATGCCTACAAAAAACCCGGCCTGGTTTTTTGGCCCAAGTATCGGTGACGGTTAAGGGCCAACCTTGTGTGTTGTAAACGAACAGAATGTTTCACGAACCGTTTGTAAGTCATTCGGCCGGAAGTTCGTTTATGTTCGTCTATTAATAGATGAACGAACATGCCTGAACATATTTTTTTATCCGTTTAATTAAATGAACGAAAATGAATAATGACAATGTTTATTTATTTACGTTCGTGAACGTTCAATTCGTTTATATATATATATAGAGAGAGAGAGAGAAAAAAAAAAAGAAGAGTGTTGTGTCTGGTTCAAATGTTAACCAAGTTTATTGTGTTAACTTTGTTAACCATTTTCAACCAATGACAATTCATCTTATATATAGATTCATATCCATCTTAGAATTTAATAACAAGGGTAAATATGTAATTTTCTTTTTTATATAACTCTCATATCATTAATTGAGAGTTACAAAATCATAAAGTCTCATGATTTTTGTTAATTTATTATTGAATATCCAATTATGTGAACATTTGAACATCAAAATGTGTATAAATGTATACGTTCATGTTGTGATCATATATGTTCTAGACCTCTCTCGATAAGACCATATGTGTTCGTACATGTTCAAATGGGTCGTTCATCATCTTGCATGTGGTTATATAATTGACACAGGTGTCACATGTGTTCATAACTGATTGAAAGATTTCGTATATGTCGATTTGTGTTCATAATGAAAGAACTATTGTTCACAAGCTATTCATATTGTGTTCATATGTAGACTAACTGCATTTCTCAACAGTGGCTGGCTTCTGAATGTGTTCATAATGAAGGAACTATTGTTCACGAGCTGTTCATATCGTGTTCATAATTGTTTTTTATTTCTTACCTTTCGTCTTGCAATTATTCTTATTGTGTTCATAACTGTTCATGTTGTGTTCATACATGTTCGGAGATGCTTCAAGACACTTTGGTAATAATATTTACTATTTTGGTAACTGATGGTATTAAAAGCACATGATATTTATACTACTTTATAAAGCAGATTTGATAAAAGTTTTAAAAACAATCTTAAATGCATAAGGTACTGCTTCTTTATGCATAAAGTCTTAAAAGTCTTAATTACAAATCATTTATGCATATGGTACGACTCAACAATGCTTCACCTACTACAATTCATATTTTTAAGTTTTATTTTTCCCATATTTAGTTTTGGTTGCCAATAGACATTGAAAATTTAAACCATCTACCCCTTTCAAATTTTGACCGTTTGTGTTCCCAAGATTTTCATCTTTACCATCAAAAACTCTTACCATTTCAAATTTCAAATATAAACCTCAAATTTTCATAATTCACGATTGATTTTTCCCAATCACCTCCATTGCCCCAGCTACATTCTTCCTCGCCTCCGTTGTTCCTCGTCGTCTCTCCTCCGGTCACACCGACACCCTTACAACTTCCACACGTGTTTATACTTGTATAAAAGTCTTCCTTTGGTTTTTCATTTTACTACTAGGGTTTGAGTTAGCTGCTTATTTTAAAGCTTATTATTTCGGAGCTCTGGATCTACATTTACAGTATTAACAAACCCATTTGCTTTTAAGGGTTTTTTTTATTCAATATATTCGAGATAGGTTGTGATTCGGGTTGAGTATCTTGCTTCATTGCTCCAGTCCTTGGCAAATGCTTGTATCTTGCTCCACCGTTCAAGTCATTCGGGTTGTGATTAAGGGTTTATGGATAATTGTAAAACTTACTAACACCAACATTTTGGATGGATGTATATTTGAATCTAAATTAGATATAAATGTAGTAGGCTTTGTTACATCTTTAAGAAATTTGATATCTCAAAATTGAATAATCTTAATAAGCTTTTTACATCCCGCTGCATTGTGCGGGTAGACAACTAGTTTTACATAAATATCCTTTTCCACTTAGTTCACATATATTTGTGAAATTGTAAATTTAATAAATTAAAATTTTAATATAATTAATCACAATCGTTTATTGTAAAAATCAATGGTCAAGATTAGTTCAAGTTAATACAATAAACTTGGTTAACATTTGAACCGGCCCATATATACATAGAGAGGTTCAAATGAGAAGCACTAAATGTATGAGAATTAAAGAAGTGATCATAACCCTTAGATTAAATCATTAAATTTTATTGGGTCGGTCAAGGGTAATATGGTAATTAGCAGAAAGCGTTGGCTATTGATGATCACCACACGCTCATTATCGATGCTAGCAACGGAAGTTTGGTCGGCGGTATATGATCTCGATCCCATTAACTAACGATTCTAACAAATCAAATCTGGTTTTATGGCAATTCTATCATCTATATGTTATTTACAGCTTTTATTCGGTTCATTTACAGCCTTACTTAGTCATTAACACCATACATACTTCAATTTGAAAAAATGTATGACAACCTAACGACGACATAAATTCAAAATCGTTGTATAAGCTATAATTTTTTTCTCTAATTTCATCTTTTTATAAAAACCATTGTTTTGAAGAACTTTTTATGTAATTATATATATATATATATAGCAGATGAATTAGATTCTTCTACTGCAAATCAATTAATCTGCCATGACAATTAGATTCTTTGCATGGTGCGTTGCTTAATCGAAGCATATGAAAGTTGAATGCTGTCTACAGAATATATAGCTGGACGTTGAGCAGATGAATCAGACATTGATCACAAAAGCTAGCCAAACAGTTGTTTCCATCGTGTTTACATAATGCGACGACCAGGTGTCACTAGAGTAACGTAGAAGTTCTAAGTCGTAATGCCGTGTAGCAGATGATATCAACGTGTGGCTACTACGCCTATTCACTCTCCTCCACATTGCTACGTGCTGCATGCATCCACCTCTTTAACTTTATTCTTTCCAATTTTCAAAACAAAATGCGACCCAACAAAGTTCACATCCTTATGGTTTATTATAGGGTTTTTATGAAAACTACTAGCTATTTGATTTAGCCATGGAAAAACTAGAGAAAATGCATATAGAAATAACCTTGTGATCTGTTTTGAACATGTCACAACTAAGGATGATTTGCAACGTAGAAGGGATAGAAACGCAACTAAACCATACTCCTCTTAGGCAACATTTTTCATTTGTTGCCTTAGTGACATTTTGAGGTAGTGAAAGGAAGAAAACAAAGGGCCATACACTGGCATACTGCAAAGAACAAGCCATGACCACCCGCAAGCTAAACAAAAACGAAAGTTAACCTGGAAAAAGCAAAACCAAAGAAGTTAAAGTCGAAGAAAATCAAGTGACGAAAAAGGCTACACCCCCACACCAATCCGACCAAGAAATGGAGTATGTCTTTGAGAGTTTGAATGATAATCGTTGAAGTTGAAAAAACTGATCAATTTGATGATGAGCCCTGCTAGAATGAACCACGATGTTTCGATATCTCCAAATTAAATATAGAGTAGCCCAAATTAAAAACCGATCAATTATGTGGCTAAATCTATTACCCTTTTTCAATTTTCCATGCTATGTCAAATAAAACACAAGGTTCAAGTTAGTTAAAATTAAACATTCATATACTTATTATACGATAAAATCTAATATAAAATAATTATGCAAAATTTCACCCCTAAAGAGAGTTCACTATCCTTTCAAAATTAGAGATCTACAAGAACCATGTACTTTATTTCAATTGTATGTGTTACAAGATATTTAGTTGTAATTATCACTCGTTGAGGAGAACCAAATTTTTTATGTGGTTTTCATTCTGCGGTCTTTTATAACCCAGATTTAAGTTAAGTTGCAAGGTCTTGCAACAATGCAACGTAGTTTTTGGTGTTATCATTGGAATGTACATAGGAAGGTATTTCATTTGTTCAGTTCGTGATGGTTCATTGGTTGTGGATTATGCAATTTTGCTTCAAATATGTTACTGGTAACGCTTAAATTCTTAACGGGATTGTATGTCTGTCTGAATAGAGGAGATGTGAATCCAAATGCTCAAGAGATTGGATTTCTTCTTTATTGTTGTTAAATTTAGTTTGCAAATTGTTTAGAGCACTATTATATAAGGAACTCCCTCTTCTGGTAGTCATCACTCATCAGCGAAGCTGCAGGGTGTATACTAGTTTGTGACTTCTTACGGTTTATCTAATCCATCTTTTGGTTTGAGGAAATTTTCTTCTTTAATGGCGTCAAAGACAGTAGTATATATTTAATTATCTGGTACTTTCGATTATCTGCTAGATGTATATAGTAACTTCCAATACAAATAGAAAAGAAAAAAAAGTGAACACGATTATCAACAGCAGCTAAAGATTCTATTTGTATGTGCAGACTTCCAGTTAGAACTTCTGATGCAGTCACTTGTCTTTTCTCGGATAGCTTCTCGACACTTCAAAAGATTGTGCTTATTGCTGCGTTTTTATGTCATCCTTGACTGTCATGCTGTAAAGCCTAGTTGGCTTGTGGGTATTCAAATTTCAGTTTCAATTTTTGCTCTTTCAGGCCAGCCTTTCTGATGGAGAAATTTTTGCCAAATGCTTAATTCAGGTGATGATTGGTGGACTATTTCTGCGGTATAATGCCTTCACTATATATCCTTTCCATGTCTGATTTAAGTTCTCATGCTGTTATTAGATATGACTGGCATGCAACTCAAAAGCATTGGTGATTCTTGTATACATTATTCAGGTTTTGAATATTTGCACCATACCAGGTTTATGATGACTTTTTGCATCTCTTGGTCCACAAATTCCGTGCTTTTGTTTGGTATCCCTAAGTTGTACGCGCGTAATTTACCCAGATTACTCGTCCTCCAATTTATCATTAGGGGATCAGCAATTAATGGAAATCAAGTGACCATGCTTCACTCATGTCATGTCCCTCCATTGTCTTCAGTTTATGCCATCATCCCCTACTCCACCATCCTTTTGTTCACAAACTGTCATCAACTGCCAGCCTCTTATGGTACTTCATTTTGCATGGTTACAAAACCATTCGACATTCTTTTTATATGAGTTCTGAAATACCATCGTTCATTTTCAGATACATCTTCAAGAAGAGTCCTGTCTAAGAATATCATCCTTACTAGCTGATGGAATTGTGATTAATCATGGTGATTATTTCGCTAGATTTCTCTGTGAACTCCCTTGAAGTCGATGTGAAGCAAGAACCTTGTGATGGAAGTCTGATCGAAAAGGTTCCTGGTGATACTGCTGTTAGCTTAGCAATGAAGGACCTTAAAGCTAACATTTCTAGAATCTTCCTCCATGGACATTGAGGGAATGCCTCTAGTTCAAGTTTGTTGGGGAAGATCTCTTCATGAAAGCATGGAGGAGAAGCATAGTGGTCACTTGCACTTGGATGATGTAGATAGAATATTGAAGGACTGGTTATTTTCATTGGAGGGTGCAGAAAGATCGTGGTTCTATAGTTACAGGTGATTCTTACACAGAAGAGAGGTGTTGGCACACAACTTTTAAGAATCACCTCTCTTCTTTGTAAGAATCACTTGTAACTGTAGAACCATCTTTGGTCTTACAGGTCTCACGAAAAACTCTTGGTCTCACGTGAACCTAACCCTCTATATATATATATATATGAGCTTTCTTTTGTTTATAATTTTCATGTAAATAACAATATCTAATCATTTAAAAAACCCTATAGGAAGGTATAGAGTTGGAACCACTAAAATGCTCAAACACCACCAATATAACCAAAAAACACAACAGCAGTCAACACCGTGCATATGCATACTCTAAAACAGTCCTTTGCTTTATATAAATATATTTAAGCTCTAACATAAGTACTTTATGTAGCCAAGCCATCAACCACTATACAAGCAAGCTACAAGCTATGAGGTTGCGACTGTATCCCAACGCCAAATGGTTCCGTCTTCACAGCAACTGAGTATTGTGCTGAAATTTACAAAGGTAAATGCGGTAAACAAACAGACTAGCAAAGCCAACATACGTACGACAACAACAAAAGAAGGCATTGTCACCTTCCGTCAAACGACATGGCAGTTTGCCTGATGGGAGATTTGGACTGGACATGAGATAACCTGAGACACACATCAAATCGAATCAAAATCTTTAGATATAATTCACATTAGTTAACTAATTTAAAATAAAATCATGACAGGTATTGAAAGTAGGCAGCAAACCTTGCAATGAGAGAAGGGGGGCTAGTCTGCAATTCCCATACAAATATTTTCCCTTCTCTGTTGCCTGAATTATATAAGCCTCAAGATCAACATCATCAGAAATTTTACCAACTGTCCCCCAATGGATTTCTTTAAACAAATTATAAGCAATAAACACTTTATAATACCTATAGCTGCTGTATTGTAATGGAAATCACATGAAAGCTTTATAAACCAAATGTCACACTCGGGAACCGGATATTTCTGAAGGATATCTACTGTTCCCTGAAAACAAAATTTATCCCATTTAACTTATATTATATATAATGTTTTGTGAATTAAATCTCTTCAAAGACTAATCAAGAGAAATATCAAACCTCTCCTGGAGACTGCTCTTTCATCTTTGGCTCCCACAATATGAACTCATTATCAACGCTCTGGAAAAGGGAAACAAAAATGAACTTCAATAAGGAACTAAAAATTGCTTAGGATTTTCTCCAGTGATCAGTTCTTTTTTCCTTTATTACTTCCATTTTGAACATGTACAGAACCACACAACAAATATTCTGCAACAAGTCTAATATTACCATGCGTTCCTTTTCCTGAAAGCAAAATGAACAGGAATGCTAATAATAACAAGATTATAAAATTATAAACGTCAAAAGATAATCCAAATGTGCTAAATAGTGTGTACAATCCTTGTCATGCCTTATGTGATTAATTACTTATAACCATAGCCGCAACCAGATCCCCATTCATATTTTTTCCTTTAAACAATAAACTCAATTTCCTATGGCAGCTATGCAGGTATATACTTCAAAAGAAACTTGTCTAAAACTACCTATAGGCGGTAGGGGTCGGGTTATTGATGTGAGATGGGTCCATAGTTCTAAGACAGACGAGACAGATAAGACAGAAAGGATTCATGTATATATTTCACAGAAACGTGAAATCAAAGTAGGCGATTAAGTAGCTGGAAGACACGGAAATAAGGGTATTATTTCAAAAAATGTGCCTAGACAAGATATGCCTTATTTGCAAGATGGAAAACCTGTATGAGGCAGTCATTCACCTTGGATAGTATGAAATCACCAAGCCACCTAATGCAGTCGACATAATTTGTATGGATTGAAGCAATCAATACCTGAATATGTTGAATTCAGATTAGAATAGAGACAAATGCCCCATTTAAGAAAAGCATACTACATTGATAGAAATAAAGTGAAAACAATTCTAACCGGAAATTGCACATATTTTGTAGGAAATTGTGAAGGAAGTTCCTCCCATGTAAAAGACCTCTCAACATACGTCCAAAACTCTGCAAGAAGGTCAATGCCATTCAAAGAGGATCAGCTACTTCCCTTTCACCAACATTAGATGTTCTACGACCAGTTTCTGCTTGCAATTATGCAAAGAGGAAAAGAATGGCCTCTTCTAAATTACAATGAAATTACTGATCACTCAAAATGATGCTAAAATTTTACAAGGTTGTGAGGAACAGGAAAACTATTGGCCCAACATCCTCTCAGAAGTAGGCAGACGGTTTTTTATTCATGCTAATTATATTCAATGGTAAGAAGAGCTTATTGCTCAATTAATTAGGATATCTAGCCCCCATTCACATAATAGCATTAACTGATGTTAAGTAACTTATCCATGAAAAGACTTGCAAACCCTAGATAGCTCTTTTTTCTCTTCAATGCCTCGAGGTAATCTCATGCATATACCACTCAGTGGCACCTCTTAATTTGTCGGTAAGTTTGTCTAAAAGAAAACATTTTATTGCTCTCTAACAAGATGCACATATATCTGCTCATCAATAAAACCTATTTAGTCTGTCTCGGAGAGTCAATGCGCCCAGCATATCAGCATTTCATCAACCATTTGTGTTTTTTTATCCTTACATGTCCCCTCTATAACTGTCGTTGATAATATGTTGCTTTATGATCATCGTCAAGACTGTATGATCCAATATCATCCCCATCCCAAAAATAAGTATAACTTTAATTTCCAAGTTAAAAAAAAAAATGTAGATTTAAAATTTGATACCACGACTTCTTCTGACATGTGACAGTGTTCATAAGTTTGATTTAGTTATCTAAAAGATTCTCAAAAATATGAAATTAATATCAACTTTTAAGATGGAAATCAATTTGACTTCAACAGCTGGCTTGCACATCTTTCTGGAATATGGAATGCAACAGTGAGCCAAACCATAGGTAGGAGTCAAAACATCAGTTGCACACCATAAAGTGCCATGAAGGTTCGAAAACACTAATAGCAACTGAATTTGACAGCTGATTATACCTTTCATCGACCAGATCTTTACAGTGTTATCCATACCACAACTGGCAATACGATATATGTCTGAAGGATGAAAATCCTGAAACAAACATCAACCCCATTCTACCTTGTTAATAGTGAAAAAGTGAAGAAGATTTGAAGTATCTATCTAACAAGAATGGACCATAAACTAATTAAAAACTAACCACGCTTAGCACTTCATTTCGATGACCACCAGCTCCGGCAAATATCAAAATGCATATTCCAGTTTGAACATTCCACAAGCGAACAGATTCATCCTATCCAGATTCAAGCATGTAAGGTTTTGAAAGGGTTAAAGCAAATATTAAAACTGACATGACACTTACTTTGCTTGCAGAAAGCACAAGAGAAGGTCTTAGTGCTTGTGTTCTAATTTCGTTTACCGAGTCCCCATGACCAACGAAACTCTGCACTACGTAATGATGGTTAGAGAATAGAGAAACAAGTCATGTGCATAATAAGCCTAATAACTATGACAACGAGTGGAATAGGTAACCTTGTGTATCTTCTCATTGCCAGCATCAATGACACGGATTATACCATTAATTCCTCCAGCGACTAGCAATGGTGTCCCATCAGCATCACATGCCCAGCTCACAGTGTAGAAAGACTCGTCCTTCTGATCTAGAATGCACATGGAAATCCAGGTTTTGTTCATATATGCTTATATGAATAAGATCCTCACATCAATATAGAATATCTTAGCTTACATCTTCATCAATGTAAGACTGCAATACAGCAATAACGCCACCTTCAAGGCATTGGTATACAGTAACCTAGAAACATTAGCATGATCAAATAAATAGCAAATTATCAGAAGTTTTGGATTTGTTGATTGTATTAAAGAAGATTCTTACTCGGTTACCACCAACGGTGGCAAAGACGTTGTAATAACGAGAGTCGATGAAGTTGAAAACCACAGCATAAATTGGACGTTTGCCTTCCTGTAGACGGTTGGTGACTCTGTAATCCCTCTTCTTGGAAGGGGCTAATGATCCCACCGCTGGTTCACACCCTAACGTTATCTTCGTCATTCTACACAGCCTCAACTGCTTCTACTTCTACTGCAGATAGAGCAAGCGGCAAAACCTATATTTTAGTTTTATGGATGGATTGAATGCATCCTAACTAGGCATGGGAATGGCGCAGGACCAGAATCACCGTCCCAAGCCCCCATCTATGCCCCCGTCCCCACCGAGTAATACGATCACATCCCCATCCCTGTCCCAACGGTAAACGGGATCCCAAACGGGGATTTATTACAAAACAAAAAACACGGCCCACCAGAAGGGAATTGAACAAAGAAAGTAGGATAAAAAAGATAAATCCAGATCAAAACAAAGTGCATGAACTCCACTTGCAGAAACTCAACTCAAGATAATCCAATCGAAAAATGGATAAAATGAAAATCAGATGAAAACAAGTGATTTAACCCAAGAATGTTAACAAAGTGAAGCACCTTACGACCTGCACCTTGCAGCAATCAGAAGCATCACGATGCAATTTTTTTTTTTTGAAGTATGTAATATCTATGTACGGTAAATAGAACAAATAAACTCACACACCCTCCTCCCTTTTGGTAAGGTTTGAACCCCTCTCCCAAGAGGCCAAACACTCACATACCGGACCAAAGGGCTTTCGGTAGCATCAGGATGCAATTAAGTCCAATGTGTAGCAACCATCTCAAAATCAAGGTCCATTATAATTGAATTTGGCATATTAATAATTAGTAATTTACACATTAAAATAATTTTACTTTTGAGAAACTATAATATGTGAAAACCTTCTGCTTTATAAGGTTCTGACAGAAAGAAAGTTTGAAGCAACCTTCAAAGATACTATCGTATTTAAAGATGATTAGCATAACCTCTTCAATCGGAAGTAAAATATAAAAACACTTTCTGAAATCTAAAGATGATTAGCGTAACTGCATAAGCTCTTCAACGGGAAGTAACTTTTTAACAAAATGACTTGGAGAAGAAGAAGAAGAAGAAGAAGAACACCTACGATTGATTGTTGAAGAAGAAGAGCAATTACTGTTCAAGGGTTGAGGCCTCGGCGGTGCAGGGACTGAGGTACAGGTCGATGGCGGTCGGCGGCAGATCTCGTCTCGGTATCACTCTCGTCGAAGAGCGGAACTGTAGAAGCCTCGAAGGATTTGATCGTCAGTGGCCGACCCACAATCCCAAATCTAATTAAACCTAGTTTGAATACTTTTTATATTTTTTAAAAATAAATTATTTAATATATATACCCAACAAATAAGGGGCTGTTTGGCAGTTGCTGAATGGTTTGGTGCAGAATGGTTAAGTGGTCAGAATAGTTAAGAGGGCCAGAATGGTTAAGTGCTGAATGAAATAATGTTGTTTGGTAATTGTTCTCCGAATGACAGTAAATTACCATTTTAACCCTCATTCACATTTTCTTTGAATTTGAAGTTGGATAATGTGTTAGGGCCGATTGCCAATCTGCTTCCTCGTGGCAGTTTCCGGCTCTTTGTTTTCTGTTTTCATCTCTCCATCGATCGCTCTTTCATTCAAGAACCCTAACCCTACTTCTATCGAACAATCTATTGCACGTACGAAAAGGATAATATCAACCAGGCATGGCTCCTATCGAACAATCGTCATCATCATCAGCAACGATTGGGGGGGGGGAAGAGAGCGGCTATCGTGGGGGGGGGGAGACGGCCGGCGAATGGCTGATCGACGATGGGAGGGGGGAAGACGGCGACTGGAACCGGCGATGGGAGGGGGAAGTCGTCACAACACCGTCGCGCCCTTGCCGATCGGTGTTGATTCTAGTTGCATCACTGGTGGAGGCGACCGGCGATGGAGACGGTGGAGAAGACAACCGGCGAAGCTGTGGAATGAGACGTGAAGGCGACGTGAACTCGGTGAAGGAGACGGCTGGAAGGAGAGGAGATGGGGGGAAGGGTAGTTCTGGAAAAAACAGCCTCTGAACCATTAGGCAACCCATTAGATGCAAAATGGTTAAGAGGTAATTGTCACCATTAAGAGGTTCCATTTTTTTTGCCAAACAGCCTCTACCTCTTACCGATTAAGAGGCTTCCTCTTAATGTCACTATTAAGAGGCAAACAAACAGCCCCTAAGAAAGGGTAAAGAATTTTTTTCTAAGCCTTAGGACGAGGAGAACGTGAAGGATCTCTCAGGCAGAAAGCGCGTCTCAGATGGGTTGTGGACGGGGAGGAAAATTCGAGTTTTTTTCATGGGATCGTCAATTCTAACAAAAGGAGCAACTTCATTCACGGCATTTCCTCTAATGGGGTATGGGTCACGGATCCTTCTGAAATCAAACAAGTGGCCTTCAACTTCTTCTCGGAGAGGTTTCGATCCAGGTCTGTCATTCGGCCCCCTTTTTTATGCAATAATTTTAAAAAATTATCTCCGAATCAGGTGAGCTATCTCGAATCTAGCATCTCCATGGAGGAAGTCAGGAAAGCTATTTGGGACTGTGGACCTGATAAGGCCCCTGGGCCTGACGGATTCACGTTTGAGTTCCTTCGATCTCAATGGGATGTCATCAAGGATGACTTGKACCGCGCCATCAAATACTTTGAGTCTACTGCCTCTATTGAYGATAGTTGCAATGCCTCATTCATCTCGCTTATTCCCAAATCTGAATCTYCGTGCTCTTTTTCGGATTACCGGCCMATCAGTCTGATAAACTGTTTTTACAAAATTGTTGCTAAGATCTTGGCGTCTCGTCTGAGCTTGGTCATCGACTCGGTCGTAGGGCATGAGCAATCTGCCTTCATCAAGGGAAGAAATATTTTAGAYGGACCCATTATCGTCAGCGAGGTTATATCTTGGGCCAAAAAARCTAAYCGTAAATCCTTGATATTTAAAATTGATTTTGAAAAAGCTTTCGATACTTTGTCTTGGGACTTTCTGGAGGACGTTCTAAGGCAAATGAGTTTTGGTGTTAAATGGAGAGCGTGGATCAAA